TCTGTAAACTGGCATCTCATTCTTAGCGCTGATTCCACTGCCTGCAGCATATTTGCCTTTTCATACAGCCATCTGATATGTTTTACACTTCTCAGTTCTCAGAGTTACCGTATTTTGCTGTTTTTACTATTTGATGATTTGCATTTCGTGTGAAAGGATGGTTATGGAAAAATTGTTTTGCTGGTTTTGTCTGCGAGGTTTAAAGATTAGAATCTTATCAAACTTGGTTAAAAAAAAAAGTTTAGGCAATCTTATTTCCATTCTATTGTTGCTATTTTGATAAGTTAAAACAATTATACTAAGAAACTGCCTGAAGCTGAAAATATCAGTCAGCGAGAAACCTGGATTCATACATTAAACTTTAATTTTGCTCATTTGATGTGTAGAATTTTATGTGAGGTCTGGGCAACTGCAGAAGCTTTTATAAGAAAGCCCTTCAGTAGCTGTTTCTTTTGTTGTTTGTCTTTAAGCCATACCAAACACACAAATAATGACCTGAATAGCGCTTGAAGTAAACACACATCTGTGACAGAAACAACATTCTTTTGCTCTCTTAGGGCTTTTCAAACTCATTTAGAGTGGTCTAACCTCGGCATCTTTGTTTGCGCAGCCCTTCTACTAATATACAACCACCCACAGCACTGAAAATGAGGCCTATTGAAACACATAAGGGTATGAGAAAGATAATGTGTTCACTGGCACTGATCATGACAATGACAGCTCGACCTGTCACTAATCTTGTGACCTTTCAAGCGTTCTTCGCATACCCACCATTCCTGCAGTGTTTCAGTGGTGTCCAACCACGACAGGTAAAAGGTGTATCGCCCTTCATTCCGAGCCTGAACGCAGACGCCTGTGTGAATTGCCACTTTATCTGTTTTGCTTGGCTGCTCGTCAAAGGTAGAAACATAGATTTAGATGTAATACAGTGTGCTCCCGTTTATCTTCTGAATCTTACTGGTATATGTAATCTTAACTTGTTTGCCCTCATTACCTCTGGAGGGAGTCAAAACAAACTTGAGGGCACGAAGGTAAGCTACACAAGACTGAGCAGAAAATCCCCAGCTGAGATTCGGGTTTGTTGTTGAATTTAAATGTTGATGAATGCTCAGAAACCAATGGCTTTGAGAAATAAGTAAATACTGACTAAATATTAATGCTTTATCTTTATTAGCTTCACTTTAGAACATTTTATTGATAAAGAAAAAAGACCTTTAATGCATGTCGTTTTCCTGTATAGCCACTAAACAGACCCACTTTTTCGTGCAGCTTGTCAACATGAAGCAGTAGACACCTGTTCTCACCAAGGTGCCATATCAGCTCAGGACAGCTTTACATAAGCCAAGCAAGGATGAGCTTCAAATCACCTGTAAAGACTCTCTGAGCATTAACTGAGGACCTTAATCCTCTAGTTTGCCTTCCATCGCAGGCTTAGGGCACTTACAGCGCAACAAGTTGGCATTGCTTTTGGCCAGAGGCCCCGGGAAAGTACATTTGTCCTTTGTCAAATTCAAATTTTGTTTGTGCTAAACCCATACTCTTAGACCTGTCTCCCAATTGTTGATATACATGTATTAGAGATTCTTTTGTACATGGATAAATCTGTCCATGTTGGTTTTCGAAGTAAAAAAGAAAAATGTTAATCACTGTGTCTTATGGATCTAATCTGCAGTTTTCGGCTGAATTTTGTGCTAAAGCAGTTTGTCTAAACAAAATAAGATAGTTTAGTGTAAGAAAAGTGCTTGATTTTCTTCTGGCCCATCACAATGTGTAATGATTTGTGTAATGGTTTTATTTGCGCTTACGTCTACTTAGATTCCTGAACATCACCCTTATTCCTTTAACGTGTCATATTCTGTGCTAAAACTGATTGCGTATGCTGCTAACCTGAACCTGTGAGTTTTCCAGAAAGCCCACAGGTGGACGTGGCAGATGACTCTCGAATCAAATCTGCTTTAGTTTTATTTTTATTTGCCCGGTGGATCTGGCTAATTAGCATTACAGGCTTTGCTTGGCAAAGCGTGCAAAATGACAAACAAGGTTGTATTGTGCTCCTCCTTTAGCCAGGTAATCACTTTTCGATGGTCTTATCCCCTCTGCCTGCTCTGTCTGTCACTGGTGGCCTGATCTTCCATAAGCTGTATTTGTCAAACTAAACACTTGATCTGTGCACAGGCATCAGCTGGAGGTGAGGTCTTGGGAGGCAGAGAATCTCAATTGGGATTTTAAAGAGGATAGATGAATTAGCCAGGGGCTTTGCAGTTGCTTTTTCCAGGCTAATCCCAAGATCTTCTCTCACATTTTATGGGATTGCCAGCCTTTCCTGGGAGCAACATTATAAGTGACAGAGGTGATTCTGGAAGACACGGGCCTCAGGTTCTGTCACCAATTACTTACTATCCATTTAAACTTAACATTACGTTTGCACTTACAATGTTGTTCTTGTTTTGTTTAATATGGATAACCAATAACTTAAATTACAACCTTATTTGTCCAACACCTCCATGGCTCTGCAGTAACCTTGTTCAGCCAGTAGAGGGGATTGGCACTCTAGATGGTTGAAAACTGGCAGGCATTCTCCTTTCCTTACACACAATACCTTGTCTATTTGAATAGACCTGTCCCTATTCATTAAACCAAAGTACTATCCACTCCAGACAGCCCCTGTTGAGTCTTTTCTGTCAAGTCTTGACTTCATTCATTTGTTATTTTGATCAAATAAATGGAATATGTGCTGTAGTAACAGAACTGGTACAAGTGAGGTAAGCATAAACAGTGTCTCGAACTTAAACAAATTGGTTTTCCACTTCCTTAAATGACTAATGCCTTTAAAGGAGTTCTGATGTGGGAGTTGGACCTGTGGAAGGAAGGAATCCATTGTTGTAAACTCATTTTCATCATTAAGATGCTGTTAACTCGAGGAGGTCCCCTCAAGACCAAATGCTGCACCTTGTTCTCAAAACAAGCAATGTCTAATTGTGTGCCTGGTCATGTGACTAAGGAATCTGATCTCTTTCCTTTGACCTGTACAGTTGCTCTACCACTGATAAAATACAGAGGTAAGCAGACTCGGCTACTTTAATCATTGATTGGTCACTTGATAGGTCATGTGTATGCTGCAACAACCCTCTCGCTGGTTGGTTTATTCGGTGCAACACTTCCTGCATTTCCTTTTGGTTCTGTGCTCACACTCTAGGATGCCGTGTTAAGATTGGGGGGCTTGAGAAAGGGGCAGCCCTTGGTGTTTTGACAGCTGATTGGCTCTGTAGACCCAACAGAAACTCTGTTGAGAGCGCAGAGGTGGAGTATTGAAGTGCACAAAGGTGTATCACGCTTTCAAACACTAATTTGCCATCCAGAACCCGCACTTTCTGCACCCGCACAGGTTCACATGCTAAGCCATAGTTGGCCAGCAAATGTGATGCAACAATGAGGTAATGTGAAGACTATGCATGTGTAGTCCTCAAATCCAACCGCAGCCGTTTTTATAATCATATCCTGTTTTTTTTTGAAAATCTTTGTATTCCAGTGAAGTATGTAGTTGGATACAGATCAACATTGTTCACTTTGTGAAGCTTTGTTGTGACTGGTTAAATAGCCTTTTATAAAAATTAGGCCCAAATTTGAGCTTGTTTGTTGCCTGTGTTCTTCTGCCATCGCAGCACACTATATATCAACCTCACAGGCCTTTATATAATCCGACGGATTAAAGATTAATCCATCCACCAAACTCTAATCCGCGGTATGCATATTATACAATTATAAATTTTTATTGGTCCTTTTATCCAAAGCCACTCAGCAATGTTGGACCCCAATTTTCTTCAGTTGGGTTTGTTTTATTGGAGTCAACCAGATGTACCTTTTGATCAAGGGATACCGCCTTGAGTTGGACCTCTGAATCTCCCAATTTGGCCTTCCTCCTGAAGCCCACCCTCTCATCTGAGATCAGTCAACCCCCCTCAGTTCCAATGCAGCAAGACCACAAACAACTCCAGCTTGAGGGATTATGACTTTGTTTCTATTCCAAAGTCACTGAAAGTACAAAAAGCAACTTAGACTTGACATCATTTATGCCTGCTGCAATGGGCAGGTGAGGCACAAAAAGGGCTACATGTGGTGCCCCTCCCGTTTCAGTCGCCCCCTTTTTTTCCCAAGAGTGTTGGCGGGGCCCTCTGAATGCAAAGCTGTCCGGTCGCCCCAGCGGATCTGGCCGCATGTGGATCGAATCAGAATTATCCACTAATTGACTATTTACTGGGCTCCAGAAAGGCCATAATGGACTTGATATTAAATCTCCTCAAAGTATTTAAAGTGTGCTTCTGAGTGCTCCTTCGAAGAGCCGATTCCAACGTTTTACAAGGAGGAGTGACTTAAGCTGCTGGGTCAGAGAGTTGCCTTGCCAAGGCGGCTCTCAGACGGGATTTAGGGACGACAGTGGGGAAGCTGCAAGTGGAGGGCAAGGGAGATCTCCTCCAATGAGTTCCAGATGCCCCCCAGTCCCAATCTAGATAGATACTACAAGCTGGAGTATTCTATGAGAGGCTTAAACCTGACTCTGTTTTAATGGAGATAGACGACTTTTTATGTGGAAAGTTAAATCGCATGAATCTTATAGGTCTAGTTTGTCTTTTTATGTGCTACCAAAGCTTTGGTTTAAAAAAAAAAAAAAAGTCCGGCTAAGTTTTGATCAGATGACAATGAGGGCTCTTTTTAAGTGATCCTAGATTTATCAGATGGGATTTGGTAAGGGAGAGTGTTTCAGTTTTTAAAAGCATATTAAAGTACCACATGACACTTCCTGTACTTGAACCCAGTCAAAAACAGAACAGCACTCCATTGAAGTTATGTATAATACAATGGCTATTTTCTTCATGCTCATATGTCCTATTACTCTGTTGGGATTCATTCTTGGATTGTGTATCACTCATGTAAATCAAAATGTTTTTGGAGAATTTCAAAGAGCCAGAATCTAATGTTCTCATATCCTCCCTCCCCCTTAGATCTGCTTGTTTTCATCAGCAGTCCAGTTCTCTACAATCAATACCCTGGGACCCATTCGGAGGAATCAACTGCATTTCCCATTTGTCTTTTAATGTACCTTTTATTTTTATCACAACAAGGCAATATTTTTTATGACTGTGTTTTTCCCTTATGTTCTGAGAAACCTGCTTTATACAAATCAGCTAATTTTTTACTTGTTTGTAGTTAAATAAAGTCACAAAAATCACTTCTAGCGATTTCTTCTACTTCTAGTAGCACTTCTGTTCATCAATGAAGCAAATGAAAACATACAGTAGTTTAGCAGATACTCTCATCCAATGTTTTGTTTAGTTTTCATGTGAAAACATTATAACATATAGCATATATTCATTATAGAATTATGGATTATTATTATAAATATTATTTCATACATTATAGCATGTTTCTTGTGATGCACCATTATATATATATATATAAAAAAAAAACATGTTCAAAACAATATTCCGCAATAATTTTTTTAATTTTATTATTTTCTTATGACTGGTAGCTGATATTAAAATAACAAATATTTTCTAATAAATTTGTTCTTAAAAACATCTAAACATCATAATTTTAGTCAGAACGTATTATGAGTAACAGCATGGCAACAAAGTAAACATGTCTCAACAATGCAACCAAAAATCATCCAACGGTCCATAGAAACCACATCTGGAATTTTAGCATCTAACACATTTAGGTCGGTTGAGTTTTGAGTGTTTTCTGTAGATCATTATTTTAGATTTTAGATTTCTTATATTTAGTCTTGTTAATTAACCATCCTATATTTGCGTTCTGCAGTCTGTTCAAACAGGAGGCCTTGAAAACAATGCTACATAATGAACTCATCATGGGAAATTAAAAAGGTACAGTTTATTCAACATATATGCAAAAAAACTGAGATGCCTGTGGATATAATTAGTGCTGAATTAACTTTTTTTTGTCAGTTTTCCCATTTTAGATTATTTAGTATGAGTAAATTCTCCACTATATGCTCCCTTAACACATCCTGTTTTCATTCATTAGAACCACTATACTAACCAGTGATACACCATTCTCTTTGAGTTTGACTTGTGGCTGCCTGCCCACAGAAGCTGTTTTACATTGTCGACATCTCAAGGATTTCCATCCCAGCCAGTTGAGTTTTGGACTTCAGATGAGTTCTCTGTTCTTCTCTGTTTCTCTCTTAATGATCGTTCTTTAAGCTTCCATCTGGTTGAAAGGAATTCTCTGATGTCGCATTGTGCTAATTGAACAAATTTGGACAATGATTTGGTGCCAGACTCACAACTCAAACACTTCTCTTTTACCATATATTGTTAAGCCGGACAGACACAGTCCAATGAAAATGAAGGAAAAGCAAAGGAGCCAATTCAAGACCACTGAGCTGAAGATTTCAAGATTATTTTCTGATGAGATGGAATCTGGAGCAACTTCACCACTTCACAAGGTGCTTGGACACAAACTATGTACAAGAATATGAAAAAAGAATCCAGCACTACTTATGATGAAGGGAACTTTAATACTGTAGAAGTACCTACGCATAGAGTATTTTCTGAGCCAGCTTTAATCTGAGCTGTAAATCTGGTATGCATTTTAGTTTTTTGCCACACATCATCATTTGAGTATGGTAGAGGGTCAGGTGTTTTAATATTTAATCGCTTGAGTTGCATTACAAAGATTGCATAGCATCAGTACACAAGCAAATTCCATTTAAATGTAATGTATATAAAAATGGAAAAAATTGTTTTGTTTTTTTACTTTATTGCAATAATAGGAAATAATAAGAATCTCTTAATAACACCCAGAAAATTACTCCAACCAATCTGGGCTTGACACAGGTTTTGTACACTCTAACATTTGAAGAGGAAAAAGGCAGCCTTAGTAACTAAGTCTGTTTAGGTTAACTAACAACTAAACTCTTCAATATAACCCATTGACACTTTTTTCATTATGCTACTAATACACAAAATATCTCAAGCGTAGCATAATTTCGATTGGCACACACATTTTGTGCTTCATACAGAAAGTCGAAAAGGTTCATCTTAAAGGGACAGTTCACCCAAAAATGAAAATGCTGTCATTATTTGCTTTCCTTCATGTTGTTCTCATGTGACTGTTGTAGAAGAATTTGTTGAAGAATTTTTCATTATTGAGTGAACAATCTCTTTAATGCCAACTACAGTGCATTAGGTATGCTGTTTGTGCTTGGCTTTACCACCTGCGCAACTCTAGTCGTATCTCAAATTCAAATAAATACACAGTGCCACAAATTGTAGGTTTCCTATTCTATTAGGCTAAATAGATTTGTGGCTTTGCTTTACAATTTAGCATCATGGCTGTATGTAAAAATAATCTCATTGCAGTTGTTGTTCAGAGAGTTTGTTGCTCTTAGCTGAAGAGGAATATAGTTGTAGATGGTGTTGTGGGTAACTCTTTAACTGTCAGTCCAGTGCGGCCCAACACTGCTGAGGCCCGTTTGGTATTGATAGGCTGGTTCTCGTGTTGAAGTGGGGCTATGGGTCGGATAGCTTGTGAAATCCCTTTGTGAACGAACCGGTGACCCAGGCTTCCTATGAAACAGTGAGGAATGTGCTCTGTCACGGGGGGCAGGGCCAGAGGGGGAGGAGGATGCTGAAGATGGTGTGGGTGGCAACACCCGCTGTGTGGTAAACGTGATTAGGTCGGGAGGTGCTGGATGTGGACGCTGCATGGACTGTGAGTGGTGGGGAACCACAGAGCCAGCGGAGGCTGTGCTGTTGAAGTGGGCGGGAAAGGGCTGGTATGGCATAGCCTCCACAGTCTGCATGCCGTAACGAGGATATGGCTGCACTGTCGCCCACATATTGCAGTTCAGAGAGGGGGCCGGGAGGTCATCGGCACCTACTGTGCCCCCTGCCTCTCCCTCCATTCCTCCATACATGCATGCCTCTCTAGAGCCCAACGCATCGCTGCAGTATGGATGGGACAGCAGGGGTGGATCGTAGGAAGGAGGGGAGCGGAAGTAGTGCTCATCTGAAACTGCAGAGGCTGTTGTGTCACGATAGGGGCGTTTGCATCCCAGCTCCAAATGCCTTGTGTTATCTAAAAGAAAATATTATATTTGAATACACAAAGCTTTGAAATTAATCACATTTTGAAAAATGCATTTTAAATAATTCATAAAACTGCAACTAGTCTTAGTTTATGTCAGAATTAGGGATGTACCCATGCCGATAATCTTATTATTATATTATACTACCATTATTATATTATGTTATGTTCCATGTTATGTTACTCATATTATTATTAATATATATATATACTGTATATCTATCTATATATGTATAATATGTATAATGCAAATAATTTTATGATGCCTAAATTCACTTTGTAGCTTTTATATTTTAGTGATTATAATCATTATAAAGTGAATTTAGACATTTTGTCATTCGTTGTTGTTTTTTTATATTGATGATTATTTTATTTTATTGATTTTAATCATTTTAAATGCTACAACTCACGCAGGATGCATTTATTTAATCAAAACTACACTAAATTCTACAAGTGAATTTAGGCAACCGTTTTATAATGCAAAGTTTAAAAATTGAAAAATAATAATGAGATTGACATTACATTTAACAGTGTTAAATTATTAATTTAATTATTATAGGTTTGGGGTTGTACATTTTTTATGTTTTTGAAAGTCTCTGAAAACTAATTATGAGATTGACGTTACATTTAACAGTGTTAAATCATTAATTTAATTATTAATAATTAACATAGCTAATTATTAAATTATTAGCATTTTTTAAGTATAAATTTAAGTGAACGTTAGATTACTTTAAAGGAAATCTAAATGTAAAAATACAGGAAATGAGCACAGCTGATATCGAATATATAAAACCTGACCGATACAGATACATATCAACCAATAACCTATATTGTACTCATTTTGTGCATCCCTAGTCTGGATTCATGTGTGTTTGGCAAATAAGGTGGTTGCTATAGCCCTGTACCTCTGTGCTTGAAGCAGTGGTAAAGAAGGCTGGATTCCCGGCTAGATGGGAAGGAGTTAGAGAGAGCTTCCTGGGAATCAGAGTTGGGTAGAGGGACACCACTGTCATACTGATAGTGAGAAACCACCTGCGGGTGGCTACTCAGCACACCTGCACCCAGTTTTCCTGACAGATGGCCATGCGATGAGATAAGCCGCTGCCGGACCATGTTCTTAGAAATTACAGGGTAATCTTTCCTAGGAAAAGGGGCACTTGATCAATAAGATATCTATTTGGTACATTATGCAGCATATTTTCAATAATAATCTTACCCTTGAAGTCTGGACACACGCAAATCACCCTCATCGCTGCCACGGAAACCTTTGGCGAAAGGATTGTTCTCAATTTTTAACTGGGTGATCTATAAAAAACAAACAAGTTATTAATTGTAATGTTTATTAAAAACAACTGCAGGTGTGAGCAATAGTTGACACTATTGTGTTATGGGCAGGTTCTGTTGGTACCTTATGGTTCTGATAGGATGTAACAGAGATGAAAGCTGTTTCATGGAAGACGTGAGTGCAGTAGGCCGTATTCTTAGAGCCAAAGGCATTGTTTTCATCAGCCTTCACGATGTGTAACCTGGGCTGGTATTTGTGCATTGAGTTCAAGATGATCTGAGAACAGAAATGCAGGCCTACATTAGGAAAGAATTGCATGTATATTTTCATACAATTGAAACATAGATTATTAACATACTGACAGCGCTTGACGCATGAAGGACTTTAGATATGTTTACATTTATCTTCCTATTACATTTATTTTTATATAAAAATATGAATAATAATATATTTATATAAAATACCAATGGTTAGGTTTATGCGTATGGGTTGGGGTTAGAGCTTTATTAAATATATATATGTATGTATGAATGTATATTTAAAATTATTTGAACACTAGTATTGTTAGTGTTACTAGTAGAACACCAAAATTATTAGAACACTAGTATTTTCACCAGCTAAATTCTATCTTTTGCTGTAGAATTCTATCTTTTAACCGAACAAACTGAGACAGACTAAATCCAGAAGAACTGTGGCAACGTCTGCAAAGAAATAACTGACTTAAAACCATATTTTAGCTGGTGAAAATACTAGTGTTCTAATTTATATATATAAAAAAATAACTTTTATAGCTTTAAGGATTCATCTATATTTAA